GAACAATGCTACTATGAACATGGGTGTACCCATCTGACATCCTGACTGCAACCCTGTGAGAGACCCTGATCCAGAACCACCTGTTAAACTGATTCCAAGATTCCTGATCATCAGAAACTGAGATAATAAATATTTATGTTTTAAACTGCTATGTTTTGGGGTAATTTACTGCATAACAATTGATAACTAATACATACACTATGTCGGGACTGGGGGCAGTGGAGGGAGAAGGCACACACTAGTTGATCAAGCCCTACCTGATTAATAATGATGGTGAGATTGATAATGGTGATAATACAATCACTATATGTTAAGAAACTACTATGTGCCAGACCATATGTCTAGTATTATTTAAGTCTCACTGCAACTCTATGCAACTATATTATCCCTTTCTTTCCTAAGGATGATAAACACGAGGTTCAGGGAAACTTAGGTGACTTTCCCAAGGACACACAGCTAGTAAATGGAAGATGTAGCATCAGAAGGATCAGAGGCCTGACTGATGGCCCAGTCTGTCCTATTAGTCATGTGATCCAGCTTGCTTCAGTGCAAAGAACACGGGCAGGTGGTTCCCCTGATATTTTAAGAAATTGTGGTTAGGATGTGATGGGCAGAGGAGGGATGCCTGTGCCTCTACTGGGGATGTCAAGTATAGAAAACCCTGGAATTTTGAATGCAGACCTAGTAAGATTTGACACGAGGTGAGAGAGAAAGAGTCAAGGACCATGCCAAGTTTATGTTTATACTTGCTAAACTATAACCCTCTGAAGGGTGGGCAGGAGACTCTAGAGTTGGGGGAAATACGTATGCTCAGCACCATGGACAGTAGCACATAAAGTTGAGGAATAGGTTATGATTATCCCCCAAGGTGTTGAAAAATAACTGTGGTTTTGACATGAGCATAGGAAAGCAAGTAGTGGCAGGAGAGGCACCCCAAGAAGGAAAAATAGAATGTGCAGAGATTTCAAGATACAAAGTGGTCTTATGTCTAGGGATAGAGGATAGGCAACGATTCAAGGTAGCCTAGTGGGCATGAACCAGATTATGGAAGGTCCTAGGAGCACCAAAGAACCATTATTGTCACTAATTCATGTCTCTTCTCCTGCAAATTCAAAACCTATATCCCACTCATCTTATTTATACTCAACACATGAGAGGTATTTTTGTCTCTTACGTTCAGGATAGTCTTGGCATCAACTTGGGGCAGCTTATGCACAAAAATGCAAGATCCATTAGGCCAGGCAGAGAAGAGGGTCCAGGCTGCCTTCACCCAGCCAGTGTCAGTCGTGTTCCAGAAGATATCTGATTCAGTCAAGGCCACCCACCTTCTGCCAAAAATGAAAGTAAGTCAGAACTCCGAGCAATATTTCTACCTTTCAAAAGAATTACATTATCCATTCCCCTATCTGGAGCCTTGCTTACC